ACTGGTCAATATGGTAAAGAAAACTTCTTAAAATGGTCGATGAACAAATTTATTAGTTATCTGTTCACACATATATCAGAGTACATTATTCACTATTGTGTAACTTGTTCAAGGTACAGAAATATTCACCGACCCATGGTATTCACAGGTCAGGTAGATTTACATACTGTTATCTGTCGATTTCCAAGTTGTAACAATACGTTAATAGACGAATAGGCTAACGTGACCCCTATTTTCTAACAGATTGCATGAAGACATACATAACATTCCATGAATGAGGAAATGGCATCTCACATGTTGCCAATTTTTTTATTTGTTTTCAGACTTTCGAATCCAAATCTGATCGATGGCCAAAAGGAACAAATGATTAGGTGATCTGGGTTTGCTGTGCTAGACTAGGTTTCCCAGAGCAGGTGGTGTGGGTATGGAAGATCCCACTCCTGAATTCCTTAGGGGCTAACTGGGGGACCTTAAACATATGATAATGATGCTAGATGTATTCAGAGTCCTATGTGTCATGTCTCATATCAGACGATGTGGGTGTACTCCTATCCAACATACCTAGGAACCATAATCTCCTCTTTTGCAAAGTTTGAGTAAGTGATATTTTAAAATTTGAAGTGCTGTATAATATTAACTTAAAAAACAAGATACATTTATTTCACAAGAAACAAACAAATACAATTAAATTGGTATGTTTTTAAAGCAAAAGAAATAATCCATCTTCTCATTTATAGATAAATGTTATAAATGTTCAACAATACTTACGACAGCTTATTTTAATGAAGGCATGAACTTTTTTTCAATATGTCAGCTGACAGATCACAAAATTCCCTCCCAATGTTCACATTCCACACTTGAAAAATTATAACCAAATGGTTCCATCTACAAATGATTTGGAACTATGCGGTCCTATCACCTTGACATTGACATGGACAGCACAATCGGATTTTAGTAACTTTTTATATAGAATCACTAAAAAAACTACTTTCCAGCAACAGGGGTTTCTATGTTAGAAAAGCACCCATTTGGAAAGAATATGCCCAAACCATCTGGTTCTCAGGCGACCTCGCCGGCTGCCGGAACTACAGTCGGTCTAAGTGTTATAACCGGGCGAAGGCCACTTCACCATAGGCGGTCTCGTCCACCGTGAGTCGGAGTGACTGTACTGCACGTGCTGCACTACGTTCACGTGGCTGAAATGTGACACGACACACTGGGGGGTACAGCAATGTACTCAAACGTCATCAATAACACAACCTACCAGAGAAATGGAAAAACTCAGTAACTCATGCATACCTAGCGACACTGGTTCTTTGCAAATTTAAGCAATCAAATTTGTGTATATTTGTCAAACGAATCCATAACTACCCCAGCGACCCACCTGTTACAATCTGAGGTTGTGTTTCGGTTTAAAAAAACACACAATAATGTTCTTGTGTACGCGCAAAGACAAACGCCAACGCATCGTTTCGCTTCTGTTTAACAAATGTTTATGACAGTTTTGCTTAAGGGTTACAAAGGCATTTCATTGTTCATTAAGTATTTAAGGATCTACTCATCCTAAGAATCAACAGGTACACGCCCACGGATACAACTTTAAGAAATAGCGGGGTGTTATTTGTTCAAAATAAGTCACGAACTTAGTTACTCCTTTTCTCTGCAAAAAACAAACAAACACAAAGGTGATTTTATATATCATATAAATAATCATCAGATGGTAATCGATTGTTCAAAATTTGAACACATCATTGTCATTGACCCAGGCTCCATATTGTACACAGTAGATTTCAAGGTGAAGGTCATCTGTTCTCAGTATCTTGTATGGCCACCAATAGAGTCCAAAACTGACCGGCATCGTCGTCCCATGGAAGCAGTCAGATCCCGAATTGTGGCCTCGGGAATGTTCACCCACTCTGCCTGCAGTGCTTGTTCCAACCGTCGGAGGTTCTGTGGTTGTTGCTGACGTTCTGTCTTTGATGCAGTGCATCCCATAAATGTTTGATTGGGTTTAAATCTGGTGACCTGGAGAGCCATGTCAGGACCTGGGTGTTGTGATTCCTGAAGAAGGCTGTTGTCAGTCTTGCCGTGTGAGGTCAAGCGTTGTCTTGTTAGAAAATGAAGGTCGCTTGTTGCATAATGGGAAGAATGTGGGGCCGACGAATGTCGTCCGTGTAACGCTGTGCCGTTAAATTTCCCAGAACGTGCTTCAAGTCTGTTCTACCAGGGTACGAGGTGGCTGACCACTTTATCACACCGACCCGTGAAGATCCGGGTAGAATAGGTCTTCAGCAACCCATATACTTGCCGTAAGAGGCGACTATGCTTGTCGTAAGAGGCGACTAACGGGATCGGGTGGTCAGGCTCGCTGCCTTGGTTTGATACATGTCATTGTATCCCAAGTGCGTGGATCGATGCTGATGATATCAATCACTGGATTGTCTGGTCCAGACTCGATTATTTACAGACCGCCGTCATATAGCTGAGTGTGACGTTAAACAACAAACAAACTTCATCACACTACCTCCCCAAATCTGTCCACTTAATGTATACAGTTTCGTGCATAGCGTAGCTGCGACGCCTGTAAACACCATCGCCTGTCTACCATCCGCACGGCGAAGCATAAAATGTGATTGTTCACTAAATCAAACTTGTCTCTATCGCAGTTGTGGCCATACTCTGTGACCTTGACACCGTCATGTAGCTGGAATATTGCTGGAGTGCGGCGTTAAACAACAACCAACCAACCAAACAAACAAACAAATTGACGCCACAGCCGACGATGTAGGTCGTCAAAGTGACACCTCTAACTGGTCGTCTAGAGCGAATACCTTCCGATAACTCAACATAAACTTACAACAGTCGTAGCGCTAACGTTGTTTTGTACATCTTGTAGTGATGCGTGGTCGATCGGACCTGGAAGGTCGCGTGTTTTCTCGTGTTTTCCAATGTGTGTGAGAGTCTTGTTATAGTGCTTGGCGCTACGTGGAAAAACATGACTACAGCTGAAGATGATTTTCCTGTTTGCAGTCGGCCGATGACGTTGTTGCGTTAGGCTTTCGTGGCATGTTTTCGCAGTTCACTTACTTTAAGATTGTGATGGCATGGAAATGAAAACCCAACGTTTCTATAGCCCAACAAAATGATGTTGCACGTTTTTGTCATGTTGGTGTGTTTTGGTGCCAGGCTCTCACGTGGTTGTGGTCCATCTTTTCAACAAATTTCTGCAGTACCTCATTCTTTCCACACTAATCAATACCAATCAATGCAGAAACGACCAATTCACTTTTTGTATTAATTCTGTAAGTATGTCATCACTCCCTCAGATAATTACGATTTTACTACTTTTGCGTTTCTATTTTTGCCGAGTATAGTATGTTTTTGTATACTATTAGTACACCCGACCATCTATATCATTCCCATTGATTATTGTTCAATGTTTATGCTTAAAAAGGGGCCGGGGAGGGGTCCCCTAAAACTGGATCCCGCCCATGTGGTTCGTGCTCATTGACCCGATTCGGTTTGCTCAAACACTTCATAGTTTTGGCGGGACTCCAAGCACGCGGCTATAAAATACTGTCACATTTCACTTAACTGCCAAAAGGAAACTAGACATTTTGAAACAGTGTTATCTCGTTCTACCGATCCGATATTCTTGAAATATTTTTTTTGAATAATCATTGTTTTTTCATCTACTGACCAAAGCTTTGAGAAATAATCTATGAATCATACATAAAAAGAACGGCCTTAATAATACAACATATGTTGACGGATCATATCACTTTTTCAAATACTGGATCGGCCTCTGCCAGACACTTGTATGTTTCCAGTACCCACTACGTACGTACAAACAGTGTGGCATGGTTGCCAGTCATTGTACTCTGTAAGTTGTAAACAGATCACGAGGGCTATATGACCCGTGAAGATCCGGGGTAGAATAGGTCTTCAGCCATCCATGCTTGCCGTGAAAGGCAACTGTGCTTGTCGTGAGAGGAGACTAACGGTATCGGGTCGTCTGGCTCGCTGACTTGGTTGATGCATGTGCCCGTATCCCAATTGCGTGGATCGATGCTCATGATATCAATCACTTGATTGTCTGGTCCAGAGGGGCGGTCGGGTAGCCTAGTGGTTAAAGCGTTCGCTCGTCACGCCGAGGACCCGGGTTCGAGTCCCGACATGGGTACAATGTGTGAAGCCCATTTCTGGTGTCCCCCGCCGTGATATTGCTGGAATATTGCTAAAAGCGGCGTAAAACCATACTCACTCACTCTGGTCCACACTCGATTTTTACAAACCGCCGTCATGTTAGCTGGAATATTGCTATGTGCGGTGTTAAACCACAAACAAACAAACAAGAAGGCTATATGATGTGATCTACAGGTGTGGGAACCTATGTACCCCGAGCCGTCAACTCGGAGTACATACATGTAAGTTCACAGTGGAACTCACACCATAAGCTCCGCGCTATATGAATCATAATCGTTGTTGACAACTCAGGATTATTATGACGTGTATTCAGATATAGTATTATATGATCATGATATCAACCACTGGATTGGCTGGTCCAGACTCGATTATTTACAAACCGCCGTCATGTCAGGAGAGTTATATGATGTGATCTACAGGTGTGGGAACCTATGTACCCCAAACCGTCAACTCGGGGTACGTGTATGACGTGTATTCAGATATAGTATTATATGATCATGATATCAACCATGGGATTGGCTGGTCCAGACTCGATTATTTACAAACCGCCGTCATGTCAGGAGAGTTATATGATGTGATCTACAGGTGTGGGAACCTATGTACCCCCATGCCGTCAACTCGGAGTACATACATATAACTTCACAGTGGAAATCACACCATAAGCTCCGCTCTATATGAATCATAATCGTTGTTGACAACTTAGGATTTCTATGACGTGTATTCAGATATAGTCTTCTGTCTGCGGAATATACCTTTAGGAAAAATCCCACACGTCACATTCTGTACATAGACTTTGGTAAACCCAGGATCTCCTGACAGATAACAGGTGCGTCCTAGCAACCGACAAACATCCGCATTCCGTCAGTATATATAACAGCGGGTGGTACATTGGGGCAGGACATTTAACTCAGCCACGATGTTTGGACAAGGTAGGTGAAATATAACGTTGCTCTCTATACGTTTACATATTAGTGTGTTTATCAATAACTGAGGGGGCACGGGTGGCCCAGTCGTCTAAGGTGCCGCGGTTCGCTTGGGCACACCAGAAACCTATGATTGTGGGTTCGAATCACGGTTCGCCACGATTATGTTTCTAGGTTTGTCAGCACCATACCCGTGCTCGTGGGTTTCACCGAAGTGGTAAACGTCTGAGACCTGCATCACTTCGGGCTTTCCTCCCACATTAAGCTGACACGCCGTGATATAACGGGAATACTGTTAAAAGCGGCGCTAAACTCAACTCACTCACTCACTGTCAGTACCTGAAAGGGTAAAACTTGGCTAATTTACGTAACTCAATTTTACGAGGGCCCGCGGTGGGCTGGGGCATGCTCCTCCAGAAATTAGATTCTTTTAGATTCTCTTCAACTATATTTTCCTCATTTTTGGACCGTTTATGTTAGATTTTATTTGTAACAAATATTAGTAATTTCTTTATTAAAATGTTTTATTGGTAATATATATATACGTGTCCAACCCCCTAACACATTTTCGACTCTAACATCCAACAAATGAATCGATATTACTTTTCTGTGTTTTTACATGTTCAATCGTGTGCGGAAAGATTCCGATTTTCAAGTTAGACAATAAATATCACGTTCGACTGTGTAGAGTTTGAATTAATAATTTACTGCATAGATAGTTAAAAGGTGATATTTTAAAGGTGAAAGCAATTGCTTTTCTGCTACAATGGTAGTTTCACCTCTATCTACCATTGTTTAGACGTAAGGGACTGACGACCTGACAAAGTGAAATATGTATGGAAATGAAACGGCCTTCCGTACATACCTCACAGTCAATAGTTTATAGCCAAGGAATGACAAGTGTTTGTATGAACCCAATTCGCTGGGCACCTGTAAGTTTGCACCTATATAACAAGGCACATGTTACATGTAGACGTCTTACATAGCTATATTTCCTATAAGGTGGTGAAGTGTATATACCAAGAAGAGTATCTTTGTGTTGGACAGAATATTAAAAAATCAACAAATAAAATGACATTTCCGTTTTCTTTCATTTCAAGATGTCATTAAATGAGAGGTTATTTACAAACAAAATTGTATCAATATCTAACATTGTTCATGATGTCATAAGTATGTTTTATGATAAGATCTGCACATGTTCATAAATACTCTTCATACGGAGGGGAGGTGGGGTGAGTGGTTAGAGCGTTCGTCGCGCAAAAGACCCGGTCTCGATTCCCACATGTGTAGCCCATTTCTGGTACCCCCCGCCGTGATATTCCTGGAATATTGCTACAAGTGGCATGAACCTAGTCACTCATTCATCTGAACAAGGATATGTACAACATATCTAAATCCGTCCGACACTGACAACTCTTCAATGTGATCATTTTTTCAGGGAGCAGACCAAGATTTGAAATTCCCAAACCCGATTTTACGACTGGGGGCAAGGGATCAAGACCAAATTGTAAGGACGTTATCATCATAGTAGTTACTGCATGACACTGGCTTTTCTATTTGTACCTGAACAAAATATATTTACTATCCATGAGGAACCTGAAGTCGTGCGAATTCTTCATCTACTATCCAAAGTAGTGTAAAACACTATAGATTAAGTTACATCGGCGCCCAGTGGTTTAAGTCACTGCATTTCGCTTTGCAAAGTTGCGTCCCTTAGGCGTAACAGGATCCGCTGATAGCTGGTTCAGTCCTAGATTCGCCTTGTCTATTATCCTTGCTTTGTCATCACAATATTCGTGTTCGTTGGTTCACTAAAGCGGTAACCGTCAAAAGTATAAGACATGCATGGCTTTGGGCTTCCATTGTGCATGAAACCGACATGTGGTGATTGAAATAAAATCGTGACACACTCACTAACTCAAGAGAGTTGCCTTTATGTTGGTATATTTGTTGTATTACCTGGAGAAGGTGAAGTCTCTAATTGGAAATCTCCTTTTCGTGGATATGTTTCACAAATTTCTAGTTTGTACCTTGGTCAAATGTTGAACATGTTTTCTATTGTAGTCCCGAACATTCCCCGTCCAAACAATGCACCTGCTCCCCGAGATCCACCTCCGCCAAAGGCAGACGCAAGTGGGGACTGCACCATCTCCTAACGCGACACACCCCAAATCAACACAGTGTATGTGAAACTTTCAACTGGAGCGTATTGTGTGTGCGTTTGTTTCCATGGCAACAATGCTGCATGAACCTTCATCTGCCACTATCATATTGTGGGTTCTCTTTATGAAATAAACAATGATCAAAACATAGAGCACAAGATAGTTGTTTATTTCTTTTTAGCAACTACATAAAGATACGAAAGCATGCAAAGAGGATATTTGTCTTGTCTTTTCTTGTCGAATAACGTGCTTTTCTCATGTGGTTTCTTGACAAAGTTGATATTTACGCCAGTGGTTGACATTTTCACATAATCAGTATTTTCTTGCCTTACTTTGCCATCCTGTGTCGTTGAGGCGGACAAAGCAGTTCTGGCGTGAAGTGTTATGAATTTCACACGAGTCAAATGTCGCATCCATTGTTTCTGGAATATACGAATGCATGCACGCATGCAAGTACGCACGCACACAAGCAATTCTTCTCTGAACGATTCAATAACAGCTCATTAAAAAAGTCTCGTTCAGGTTGAGTTATGTGATAATATATTATGAGAGTTGATTTAGTGAATCTTAGAACTGTATGATAACTAAGTTTGTGGCCAGGTCGTGTCGAATAGAAACCGTATTTCCTTAAGTTTGGGGGGAGGGGGGACTTGTGTGTATGTTAGATGGAAGGGGGTAACATGTCTGTAAGTTTGGGGGAAGGGGGTAACATGTCTGTAAGTTTGGGGGAAGGGGGTAACATGTCTGTAAGTTTGAGGGAAGGGGGTAACATGTCTGTACGTTTGGGGGAAGGGGGTAACCAGTCTGTAAGTTTGGGGGAAGGGGGTAACCAGTCTGTAAGTTTTCGGGAATGAGGTAACCAGTCTGTAAGTTTGGGGGAAGGGGGTTACCAGTCTGTAAGTTTATGGGAAGGGGGTAACTAGTCTGTAAGTTTAAGGGAAGGGGGTAACCAGTCTGTAAGTTTATGGGAAGGGGGTAACATGTCTGTAAGTTTATGGGAAGGGGGTAACATGTCTGTAAGTTTGGGGAAGGGGGTTACCAGTCTGTGAGTTTGTGGGAAGGGGGCAACTAGTCTGTAAGTTTATTGGAAGGGGGTAACATGTCTGTAAGTTTTCAGGAAGGCGGTAACTATTCTGTAAGTTTTGGGGAAGGGGGTAACCAGTCTGAAAGTTTGGGGGAAGGGGGTAACTAGTCTATAAGTTTGGGGGAAGGGGGTATCTAGTCTGTACGTTTGGGGGAAGGGGGTAACCAGTCTGTAAGTTTGGGGGAAGGGGGTAACCAGTCTGTAAGTTTTCAGGAAGGGGGTAACTAGTCTGTATGTTTGGGGGAAGGGGGTAACCAGTCTGTAAGTTTGGGGGAAGGGGGTAACTAGTCTGTAAGTTTAAGGGACCCCCCACGGTGTACTTCGTGGCCAGGAGCAGCAATCCAGTGACATTCCCAGGTGTGACAGTCGCGTCATCTGTGTACAAGTACCTGAATGAAACAAACTACATGTGTAGGTTATTCTTTAGACTTTGATAGGACAGATGATGGAATGGCCAGAACATTTTGTTTGGGAAACATGTTACGTTTATTCTAAATATATTATAATATACCATGGCTATGGTGTTGCCAATATAGTGCACATTTGAGCAATTGCAGCCATCTAAATACTTTCCTAAACTTACATATGTTTTGGCGACTGTCGCAAATCGTTCGACTTTCCATTTAACCGGAAATTCCCATTAAAACTAGATGTAAATGCTCGCTATCTCTACATATATCTGAGGACGTCCCATTACAGGTGACGTAAGAACGATATTTTATCCGACCAATCCAAGTGTCTATTGCGAAATCACAAAAACGAAAAAGTGTAAAAGTGTATCTCCAAAACATGCAGCCTCGAAAGATAAACACTTGGCTTTCTGACAGGCTGTCCGACAGATTCCGAATACTAGATCCCGTCAATCTCTCGCTTCAGTGGAAGAAACATTTGAAACAGAAGCTGGAAAATGTTGCATAGCCCATGAGAAAATCTGCATACAATCTCAGCCATCTCTAAGACATTCCAGATTTTTCTTCAGTTTTCAAAGTTTGTCAAAATAGTATCCTAAGCAAAGTCTGGAATGATGGTCGCCATTTTAAAACTTGTGCCGTAAGGCTAGAGAAAGCTACTTTCTGATTGGGTAACGCTAGCGTGACAGCACTCACAGACACGTATCCTGCCACGTGACCGCAATTTGTCACAATAAACGACCTCGTTATCGACCGGTATCATATGAGGTATGTATATTTTTAGACATTTACATTTCTTACCGATCTCCAAATCAATATGGTAACCTGTTGTACCCGACACAAACACTTATATCCAACTTATGTTGTTGTTATAATCGACAAAATGGTGATTAACTTTGTAATTATAAGAACTTAAAAATTATCCTTTGAGAAATTTACCCCCAACATTTAAAAACAAATCCTTAAAATTATTCATGCAGCAGAAATAATCGCTAAAAGAATCTATTTGACATATTTATCTCAAAACGCCTCTTCAATTATTTCCGGTTCTGGTGTACGTGTCAAGTAGCGGTAGTACCATGGACACCTAATTCAATATATTTATGGTAATACTCACACCAACATCTCTGAGAATATGCCTGCCTCGACGTCAGGTATCTTGATGTCATCTTTCTCCGCCAGGGGGCCACACAGCATTGCATCAAAGACACAGCTTCGGCTGGTGAGCACATAGCGATGTGCCCGGATGGGCTTTTCACCTTTGCCAACCCGGAAGGTGACGTCAGAGTTGTGTTCCGAGGTCAGCATGTGGTGGTTACACTCAACCACGGACCTCCCGCTCTGCCAGTTATCCACGAATCCAGATCCTGCTGCCATGTCTGTCTGTCGGCTAAAATGAGAATACAAGCCAATATTAAGGAATTCTGCCTTCAAAAGTAAAGACACCACTGTTGATGTGAGTAAAGTTATCCAGAGAAAAACATCGACATTTCGTCTTCAATGGCTTACTACAGCCTGGCCATGCTTTCTTAAAAAATAATTTGGATCAGCTTAGTTAAACTGGAATGGGTTACTTATTAATTTTAAATTATTTCATAAATCCTGTAATAAGGTGTCATAATAATATAGTATTACTAAATTCTGTCTATGAGTTAGAACACGCAAACACATACTTCATTACTACCAAGTCTCGAACTTGAAAAACCACCTTGACACTAACTTTTTCAAGTTCGCACTCAGCAACCACCACTGATTTTTTGTTTGTATATTTACTTTTTTCTAACATTTTTTATATCATCTTTGATGTGTCCTGAATGAATAACCACAATTGTTTTATGTGTATTTTCAGTTTTAATGCATTTGGCCATGTTGTAAGATGAGATCTCAGAAGACCAAAAACGGACCCAATTTTCGATGCTGAACAAAAAGTATCCCAATGACACATGAAATATATTTTACACACAAGACACAAAATCCGTATATAATATTAATCCTTAGGCATTTATTTACAACATACAATGACAAAAATTGAGATGAGAAGAAAATTCAGTCTCAAGACAGCTCTCAACAGGGGTACCCACAGCCGTTTGAAGGAAGGACAAGCCTGAAAGAGAGCAAAAAGTAGAAATAAGAATTATTTTTGCAATATTTTAGTATAATATTTCATATATATCTCGAAATTCATATCCTAAAGCTATTATCATTATTTACATAAATGTATTTTAAGAAATAATAAATATAATAATATACTAATAACTACGTCTTACCAAATGAAGCACTACTGGTTTGGACTGATCTGGGGAATATCCTCATATGCAAGAAAACTGAAAACAATACAAATAAACTTCAAATAAGCATTTGTAAATAGTTTTAAAAATACATAAAACAAACTTGTTTATATATCATGATGATACATATTACTGCATCAAAATTGTTTTTAAAATAATGCTTTAGAATAATATTCATTGTAGCTTGAGGAAATTCATATGGTGCCCTTATTATTTATTAAACTGAAATAATTTGAAGAAACAAATAAACATAATTATATACTTACATTAGTTACAAACACATCTGACCACATAAGGCACTACCCTCATGGACGTGTATGGGGGAGTATCCTCAGTCACACAAAAAAGGGCCAACAGTAACTGAAAACAATACAAATAAACAAACATTTTAATACGTAACCAAAATTAATTATATTTTTTACTAGGATGCATCAGAAATCTTAAATTGATACTTCAACAATATAACAAAGTTTTAACCTGCACTATTCAAACTTTAGAAATCTTTTGTCATTAGGAAGTTTCATACATAATTATCATCAGTTAATGCAACAAATATTCAGACCTACCAAATACATTTTGGTGTGTTCAATTATTATATTTTATTCATGCTGTATATAACAAACAACATATTAGTCAATGTTAGTAGATTACACGCAAACATATTAGTAAATAAACAATGTGAACAAATATTGTTAATAAGTTATTTTCATTAAATAAGAAATTAAAATCAAACTTGTTAAATTCAACGCAAACTGATCAACAAATGAAAATAATACTGAATTCAAACATAACAGGTTTGTAAATGAACTAAAACCTAACCAACAAATCAATTTCAACTGAATATAGGCAACTTAAACTACCTCTACCGCAAACTAAGGCAGCTGGAAACAAAAACTAAGTATCTAATGCCAGCTGTTCTACTCTCTTATTGTCCACTGTCCACACTTTGACTATGGGGTTTCACAACGATTTTCAAATCCCCCTTCTCAAAGTTCTCACACAGGTAGTAGGCATGTACTGCTTCATCATTTTCATACTATACATTGAACCACTTTGGAAATCCAGGAAATACAGAAATCACAAATCCTTTGTAGACTCTATCATCAAATTTGTGTTCCACATGTTTTCCAACGAAGAGAGGAATTCCTTCCTGATGCTGCCCTGTTGTCACCATGGCCATGGTTTCTTTGATCAAAGTCATCAGGTTCTGTCTCAAATCCAGAATGGAATGTTTGACATACTTTCCAGCTTGATTCTTTTTGGAAAAGGTGAACACCTTGGGGTCCTTGTATTTTTGTTTGAGGACTGTTTTTCGGAATTTCAGCTGGGATTCTATGGCTTTTCTCTGATCACTTGCCGAAAGTCTTGTCAAACCTTCATTAACTTGCTCCTCACTCTGCAATAGACCATAATAGCAGACATCATTTGTCAAGTTTTCTGCGGCTTTCAAACCCTTCTTCTCCTTTTCTTCAAGATCCTTCTGTCTTTTCGTCTGCTGTGCAAGACGTTTCTCTTCAATTTCATCCAGACGGGTCTTGAAGGTTTTCCATATTTTAGCCCCACCCTTTCTGGAGTTCATGAGAAGCTTGTTTCGGGCACTGTCTTCAAGATTGTCAGACCATTCACGAGTTCTGTTGTGTGAATACATGAGAAAAGCTTCATTTGTAAGAAGAGAAAAATTTGGCCTGTATCTTAGAAGTTGGTCCAACTGACCAAATCCAAACACTGGCAGTTTGTTATGTTTCATGGCTGACTTTGTTTCCTCCACTACTTCAGCTGCAGGATTCCAGAATGTTCCTCCAGGCAGGTGATCTGTGACCATTCTAGAGATCAGTTTGTGGATCGTCTTGAACAGAGCCTGCAACATTGGGCATAGGATTGGGTCCACAGATGGGGATACCGTTGTGAGAAGGGTTAAAACCTTGTCATCCTCATCTAGTGGCGTGTCAAATGGTGTAGTTTTACCTCTCATGAACTCGGTCATGACTTCCACTTCAAGGAAACCTTTGTCCAAAAACTTCACAAGTGTTTCATAATGCTTGTTCACCTCAGGATGTGGCCTTTCATTTGCAGCAATTTCCACAAAGGACCGGAGACAAATTTGGAAATCAAACCAAGTGCTCTTGCTCCTGCAAGGTACAGCTTTTCTTTGATGTCATGTGAGACTGCTTTCAGTAGGCTGTTTGCTGTTAGGTGAACGGTGTCAAGAATGTTGAAATGTCTTCATGATGGATATAGACTGCATGACCCAAGGAGAACACAAGGTTGAAGCCATTGTGCTAAAAACGAACAAAACGATTGCATTCCCCTGATTCACTCTTCAAGTATGTCTTCAATGCCATGCTGACACCATTTTTTTCATCTTCACCCACTGCAACGGCCTTGCAACAAGTTCTGATTACACGTAGTGTGCCACTCTCACTCTTATGGAATAACTTTAGTTCAGGAAACTTGGCAGATCCAATAGTCTTTCCTTGAAGGAATGAATGTTCAAAAGTCTTGAGCAAGTAACTGAACTATGCAAACTGAAAGAAGAAGAGAAAGATCAACAGATCACAATTGATTATTTGCGATCCTTACTAGATGACAGCGGAGAGCTTGAACTATTTGACAAAGATTCCCGTTCTTACACACCGGTAACTGTACAGTGTGTGCCAAACTTGACTAATTTGAAAGTGGCCTCAGAAAAGGTAGGCAGTGTTATTAGAGAGGTTGCAACCCTTTGTGGGAAGACAACAAATGCTTTACCTTCTGCCTCAACAGTCAACAGGATTGTCCATGCAAAATGTGCAGTTGCACAAAAATGCAGTTACAAGATGTCCTGAAGATTAAGAAGGATACAACTCTGTACACAGATGAGACCAGAAAATATGGAAAGACAGTGGAGACATATGTTGTCACTGATGAATCCCAGACATCATATATTTTGGGTCCCCGAGAAATGGCTAACAAAAGTAGTCAGACTACAATTGACACCTTTAGGGAGATTCTTGAAGACATCAACGACCACTGCCATAACAAGGAGAAGGAAGGAGAAATGCATGAGGGTTATCGAATTCTAGCAAATATTCGAGACACAATGTCCGATAGAGCCTCAGCAGAGAAGACATTCAACAGGCTTCTAGAACAATTCAGAGCAACTATTTTGCCGCAAGTTGTTGATGGGTGGGCAGACATGGATGAGAAAGAGAAGTCCATGTGTACAAAAATGAACAACTTTTTTTGTGGACTCCACCTACTTTGTGGAATGGCTGATTCTTGTGAAAAAACTTTGAAGACATCAAAGAAAAGCTGTACCTTGTCTGCTGCTTGTTTGTTGGCATTAGAAGCAATTTTCTGACGAAGACCTTTCACAGCTCTGTTGCTTTCAAAATACATCTTCATATACTTGTCTCCTTTTCTCTTGAAATGGATACTCTCTTTTCAAGTTGTTGTAGCATCTTTTTGTAAGCGGACAGATTCCTTTTCAATTTTCAGTCTCTTCTCCTTAGTGGATGCTTCCTTTTCAACTAATCTTTCATATTTTCTTTTTATCTGTTTCCTTTCATCTTGCAATTTCTGTACAGTCTTTCTGCGTTCTTTAAGCTGTTGCTTGGTCTTGTCCAATTCTGTTGCATGTGTCTTCTGTTCAGGTTGCTTAGGCAAGATGAAAGTTGATGGAACAGATGTCCTTGTAGACTGTGGAATGACAAATTGCTTTTGAAGAATGTCCAACTTACTTTGACCCATCTTATTCTTCAGTGATGTCAGTACCCTGTGAATCTTAGCTATGACAGCTGGTGCATTTATGCATTCAACATCTAATCCACAAATCCTTGAAATCCAATTTTGCAGAGAATGTCCAACTTCAAGACCTAATGTCCTTGACAAAGTATACAAATCAAATAGTACTCCATTTGTCACTTGTCTGTCCGCAATTTGGGGAAAGTTCAGAGGTATTATCTATCAATTTACTTTGGGAAATTCCAAGTTGATCCAAATACGTCATGGCTGAATAATTAATTAACAAACAAATGGTTGCTGAAAGTCAAGATGGTTCTGCTTGAAATTGTCTCGGTTGACTTGTCGTTTTGGAAGACTTCCACCAAGTCACCTGCTAAAAGTCCTGTTGAATTTGTGTAACAGTCCCCGCTACAGACTGTCTGAGACTCAACTGATTGCTTTCTTTCAATCACTTACTTGTACGTCTCTTCTTCAGAATGATTGACTGGGATTCCTCGTCCGAAATAGAGATGTATAGTACAGAAGCCTCATAACTAGTGCTTTGTTTTGATGAGGGACCTTAAGCTTCATCACTGGTGACCGCCTGCGAGGGGGGGGGATAGTTGCATCAATGTCTACAGCCTGTCAGAGAATAAAATAATATGTAAAAGTTGCAAAGTGTTATAAAAAAAATGACATAGAAACTATTATTTATTGTTATTCATACTCACAAAGAATAGTTTTAATACTCCCCGACAGAGTTAAGACGGATATAGTATGACAAATATGATCCAAAGCTTTGCTGTAGTAAAATGTCCTGTGCTTTTAGCATGATGCAGGTGGTGTTGATTTTAGCACTATAGAAGTTGACTATTATTATTTACAAATAATATATAAAATTATTTAGGAGTAGTATGAATTTATAGTTATACAATCTTATAATTATCACCTGAGTATCTGTGAAAGTTGGCTCCCATATCGGTACTGGGAATCTTCATCCGAAGTCGGCATTGGCTGGCTATCAAATGTGAGGCTGTTGTCAGGCTCATTCATGGTAACTGAAACATATATACAAAGTGATCATGTGAAATTAACAAAATCTTTGCCTTAGTACTAAAGGGGCAAAAAAACCTATTTCCAAAGCATATACAATTTACATTGCAAAAAGGAGTACTTAAAAAATACAAAAATTCTGTTTGATGCTTTTATATACAAGAATGAGGGGATGTTTTGCAAAGATTAAAATTAGAATACACTTGCTTAAACAGTACATACTCAATAACACAGGTAATAATTACTGTGTTATGCAAAGGTGTGCATAAAATAGATGTAAAAGCACGATGAATGCTGTAAGTACAAATATTCACCCTAGCCATCTTCAATTTAACTTAAGTGTTTTATTATCAACAGTGAATATCGCATGCATTAACAATCTGACTCACCAACCAATCACAAAACTAAAGTACGTATCTTGCAAAAGCATGTCTTCCAGTTCCACCTTAAAATAGAAAAGTTTAAATTATGTCATGTAATTGAAGAGATAAATCACATTTCCATAGATAAGAACAATTTGAATATCTAATATTTTGTATTTCTTATTATATCATTTGATAATTAATCAAGTTACCCCAATCTGCTTTTAAATTGCTTACATATAATTTCTCATATTCTCAGGTAGAAAATAGAAATGTAATCCAATAAAAAGGTGGTGTGCTTATGTTAGACATATTTTTATTGAAAATGTTATTACTTTTGATCAATAACTACAGTGTATGATTTACTTCTTTTAATAATGTACCAGTTTTCCAGTTGGAAAAGTAATCAAATTATATGAAATCTTACTTAATCAAACACATTTAAGCTAGAGTCACTTTGTTCTTGAAAATATTTTAAAATAAATTCAACTAGATATGAATATATTAATAGTCATGATCTGAATAGTAATTATTAATATATAGATCAGGACTTTATTAATTAATTTATTTAAAAGTCTTATTAATAGTAGTAATACTCTTAATATATGTTAGTTTCAAGGAAATCCCCGAACCAAAAATAGAAATGTAACATCTATCGCGCGATTGTACCAGCGCGATTGTCTCCCGAGTTACCTCCCTTTGGAAAATTGAGGACCATCGCTTGGAGACAATTTAAGCTATATTTACGCTTAAATACTAATGGAATCACGATGGAAGTTATTTCTATGAAGTCTAGAAGTCAAGAAACAACCGTTACCTATTGCGTATATGGATGTCAAGGGTCCATTCATGTCCAAATTTCCGTTTCCAGCGCTGACAAATCTTCGCTTGACCTCACTTGAAAAAACAATGGCGATTTACGGTTAATTTATTCATGTAAGCTTTGATATGTCACCTTTGCCAAGGTCAAGGTCGTAGGAATTTTCCCACAGGAGAGCGTATGAAATTGCTTGGTCTGCAAGGTCAGCTTGAACCCGGAAGCAAGAGATAGGTTACGCGCGCGCCCTAGCGGCGGTGGTGGTTGCTACGGCAGAAATTTCTTATTTAATTTCTTATAATTTAATGACAGTTTAAGAAACGCTACACTATCAAAGAGTTGCTTCCCCTTAATTATTGCACCTTTCTTTTCAAACCGAAACTATCGTCCATAGAACGAACGAATTAAGTATTGGAGAAAACACTCTCACGAGGTTTTTCCCGACCCTCAGGGCATGCTCTGTCTACCAAAACCGAGGGAAAGTGTTTTTCCATGCTTATAAACCGAAAAAAGAAACTTTAAACAACATTTATCAACATTTTTATGTTTCGAACATACTTTCCATGAGCCTTAGGAAAAGCGCGTAAAATATATGTTGCTGGCGTACGGATCCTGAAAAGGACATTCTAAAAACCAGTGAGGCCTATCAACACCTCTGTAGCCTAGTGAAGGTTGCGAGTTCGATCCTCGGGAATATAAAGAAAACATTAGTCATTTAATTTTACATTTCATTACATGTTGAATCTGAACGGAAGGGAAGGGATTTATATAAAATCCCAGGGACATTACAACGTCCCTGTTTATGAGATATAACCTGACTGGAAAGTAAAACCTCACAATAGGTTTTAATGCCTATAGAAAGAAGTCACTTACGTAATAGCGATCCCAATGAATAGGTTTATAAGGATTGGAGAAAATCCATACTTATAAACCGTCTAAATTGATTAAATGTTATAACGAGCATCTATAAATGAGGCGCTTCATTATAGCGCTTCCTTGAAGACATGATATCATAACTTGCACGTGAAATTCGCTGACTTGCCAGGCGGTCAAGAGCACTTGGATGTGTCAACAACAAAACACAACTAAAATACTTACTTTTAAATGAAAGTGAAATCTTCGGTCTCTAAATGTTTGTGTTGCAATATTCCAATTCTTCTAAACTTTTCAAAACGAAAATTCGCAAATTTAAAAGGTGTCTTTTGCTTCACAAGATTTACGACTTTAAACAATCCAACTGTTACTACATAGAGGTAGTTGTGACCTAACGGTTAGCAGTTACTTCACGTGCAAATTGTGCAGCATTGATAAGCACTTAAAAGCACGTGTTTTGAAACCTCGCTGTCCTTTCACCAGAGAGTCTGAAGTGGAAAGGTGAGCGGCGACGACGACTTTCATTTTGTTACCCAGTCTTCATTCACTGTACACATGACATTCAATTTTAATTGAATTAAAATTTTGAATTGCTACTTGTAGTCATTTTTTCAGTTAATTGGTTAAATCTGGGATTTGAGGTTTTACATTCAAAGTAAAACCTCCAGAACGAAAATATAACCTCATAATAGGTTTTACTTTGAAAGTAAAATCTCTTAATAGGTTTTACTTTGAAAGTAAAACCTCTTAATAGGTTTTACTTTGAAAGTAAAATCTCACAATAGGTTTTAATGCCTATAGAAAGAACTCTCTTACTTAATAGAGATCCCAATGAATAGGTTTATAATGAATGTACATGAACACCCTGAATGCTGTATACATAGTTACTCCTTATGGACACCACACAACATTGATTTAGACTGAAATGTTGCTTATATAGTTCACTAAAACGAAAGTGGAAGTTGATGCAAACATATAACATAAACGTTTAACGTCTTGTCATTGTTTGGTTAAAATGGTATAGGATTATCACATGTTCAATATCCACAAATATATTTTAATTCCGTTATTTTCTGATAAAAACAGTTCTGACTCACATGACAACGTAATGCACCGCCTGACAGTCTGTGTTCTTCCTCACTGGTGAACGCGCGCAATACCTCAGTCACGTGACTATCTCGACCTACACTGACGCTAATCAATAACACATCAACATCCGATATTCACCAACAGTGTTTTGTATTGTTGCTATGGAGAGTTGCAGTGGCCAACACATATCTCCGAACATATACCCAGCATGGCTATGTAAATCAGAAAGTGTCGGTGGTATATATTCAATAAAGCCACATAACATATTTATTTCACTGGAGTGAGTAAATCAGGCGGAGAGCCGAAGTCAACAATATTGCAACTGTATCGCGACGACCTGTAAAGTTGTATAATCGATGACAGGCCAGAGAATCCATTGACAGAATGTATGAAAAACGATCCACAGCGTCGGGGCACGATGACACGTCACGCCCCAAAGCCTCGGATGCCCTTAAGTCGGCTATTACGACAGGCTGGGATGTTGGTTGGTTGGTTGGTTGTTGCTTAACGCCGCACTCAGCAATATTCCAGCTATATGACGGCGGTCTGTAAATAATCGAGTCTGGACCGGACAATCCAGTAATTGATATTATGAACATCAATCCACGCATTTGGGATCGATGACATGCATCAACCAAGTCAGCCAGCCTGACCACCCGTTCCCGTTAATCGCCTTTTAGGACAAGCATAGTGACCTTTTACGGCAAGCATGGGTTGCTGAAGATCTATTCTACCCCGGACCTTCACGGGCCGGCTGGGATGTATTCTTCCTATTGGGTATTTACTGCAAATGAAGTCTAGCGTTGGACTGAAGCCGTGAACAATTAGTTGTATACAGTAGAAAGTCGTTAACTCGAACCTCATTATCTCGACACATATCTTAAGACGATGTCATTTTATTATTCCTTGCAGAAATGAGGTATAACAAGACACTTCGCTTCACTCGAAGGAGGGTATATGTTTCACTGTTCTAAGGATTTCACATTGACGATATGTTTGGGTATTTATGTTTAAAATGATGCAGATTTCATGCATGTTCATCTTTATATTGTAACATTTTAATATTATCTCTGTCTTTGTCTTGCATCGCCGAAATACATGAAACCCAGTTATCTTGTTAAAATGGAGAATCAGTTAAATTGGTGAACCATCCATGTTTTCTTTTATCAATTTAATGGCATCACAAACTCAATAGAAGAACTTTCAGCTTTTATAAGTTAGTTTGGGGTAAATTGGTGAAAAACTTGTTGTTTGAAATCGTATCTTGCCGGAAAATGATGTTACTGAATTCAAAGTGGAGCAACAATATATTATCATTTACTTAATACACCGGTGAATAAATGGTTTTATTATGATTGATTAAAAATAATTTTCATTTTAATATGTTACAGAAAATGTACATTAATACATTACAAATGATGGTTATAAAACAATTAATTATATTCAAGACTAATCTGAAATTAACGTTAACAGAGAAAATGTCATTAGATAATATAACCGATTTAAAAAAGACATCCTAAATTGCATTGAATACTATCCCAAGAGGTATTAGAAATATATATTTCTGCATGAGAATAATAAACCAGAGAACCATACGATTTTAAGCAAAATTATTAGTACTTCGAGTTTGTATCATGTAACTTCCTGTTTCCAAAACACTTCTATTGCATTTGACTCAAGGGATCTAACAAAATCATGTGGTCAGGTTCGTTGTGTCGGCAAATACACATCATCGTATCCCAGTTGCGTAGATCGATGCTCATGGTGTCAATAACTTCATTTCTGGTCCAAACTCGGTTATTTACAGGCCGCCGTCAGAAAGATGGTATAGTGTGTGCCCTGAATCAACCATCAACACCAAAATCAAAGAGCACAAATCTGCAACCGTTAAATCATAAAATAAATCAGCCATCTCGGACCATATCAGCATCTGCCCCAATGAAAACACCAGTTGGGACAATACTTAAATCCACTCGAACAACCTCCCTTGACGTTACTACAAAAAGGTTAGTCGCCACTAGCCATTATCTATTTTTCTCAGGTCACACGTCGATGAGCACAATAGTTCAGTAGGTAGTTTATGTGGACGAATGACTCTCTGGCTTACTTTTCCTCAGGGTACACACTGGTCTCCCTGTGCCAGCGTTAACCCACATATGTATCGTCAACTTCTTCGACGGTGCAGACACACCCACAGGCGACCACATGTAATCAGGAGGTCAGACTCAGTGACTTGGTTGATTGTACGTGACTCTTTCATGACATGCTCCTCACATCATCCACTGATTGAGTTTTCAGAAGAGATCATTAAAAGTGAGTAACAGAACTGACATCTGTTTTATGTATTCATCTTTATGTGTCCCAAGGCCAGCAACATTAGCATTCGTTAGAAATAAACTATCTAAAATGACACGCATCCAGAGTGATAGATGTTTGTTTATTTGTTTGTTTGTTTGTTTGTCGTTTAACGCCGCACTCAGAAATATTCCAGCTATATGACTGCGGTACACATACTGCTAAGGATATTGTAAGATCCGTGTAGAGACATATGACTAAGACATAGTGATCAAGTTGATGTCTTTATTAACAGTACTGACACAACGTGGTAAGGACAGGGCCACGTGTTGATGGTTACTCCTGCCATCTGCGTAGCTTCACTTCCTTCAGGGTAGAGCAGCTCACTTCCGGGTTTCTGATAACGAGGAAAAGCAGTTCAAAACTTCTGTTACGTGTGTCCATCATTTTGCTACAAGCACTTTTTTAATGGAAATGTATTATTTGCATTTCCTAAGTTTCTCTGTATCACAAGATAAACTGGACTCAGCATTTGGTTATTGAATTCATTTTCATTAACTGTTTAATTCTATCGTTTACACCTGTAAAACAACATTATAATTCAGCATACCCAGATCCATTGGTGCCTATGTTAGTATTAAGGAAGGCTGACCGCTGGATGGTGCTGACATTGTCGGCATTGTCACAGATGATACGAGCCAATGACGCTTTTTCCAGCTGCGTTATTTGATCTGAATTCAAACAAAGAAACATTGTAAAGATATATGTACATCACTATTCGAAAGAAAGAAATTGACATCAATCCCTGTTCACAAATTAATGTATATCCTTAATACACCAACCAAAGAAAGAGGTGTATGTATTTACCAGAAGTAAAACCAGTGACAGAGTCTGTAGATTCGAACCAGAACCTGTCACCATCCCTCAATTTCTTGAACTGTTCTCCGATCAGACAGATGTAGGTTCTTCCCACCGCTGCTACATCAAACGGGACTTCAGCAACACCTCCACTGTACAGATCAATGTCGTCCACACTGTTACTGAAAGAGTCAAGTAACATGTTATATACGTATTTTGGACCTTTGGAACAATAGAAGTGTTAAATTATATTGGACAAATATGAAAAGATATTTCTTGAAGATGATTGATTGTGAATCATAGCTTATCGATTGTGGAGAAAAATTTAGTCTAAAATTCTAATTTACATAAACACTTACTATATATCCTCAAGATCGCGACCTTGAATGAATCCGAAATCATTATCAGATGTGAAGGAGGTGATTTTGTCGAGACCACAGTATTCTCTCCAGGCGTTATAAGGAGGGAGACCGTGTTCTCTTCCTCGCTGAATGTTCAGACTCACAATGTCAAATCCGTCGTTCGTGTCGGAATCCTCCTCAAACATCCTCTGCCTCATGCCATCAACATACCATGCATCAACACGTTCACCTGCAGCGCCCAGAAAACTACTGATGACGTCGTCCAGGCTGTTGATGACGTATTTGGTTCTCTTGAAAAGGTCACCAGTGTCCACGACTTCGCTTCCTATTGTGAGGTTTTCTGGCACCATCGAATGGCCAAATCGGAAAGCTGCGGTTGAGAAGACGTTACTGAGAGTTGGGTCGAGGCTGGAATTGTAGTTGTAGTTGCCCAGTTCCAGACTGTAGTTTGCAACCCCGTCGTCACTAAGGATTTGAGGCAGCCACTCGTTGTATGTGATCACCTGGTGATATATACGACGTACATCAGGAACTGTTCATCTTCATCATATGTTTGATATGAATGCCGTTACATAATACTTGCAACATGTCATTACTTTACTAATAATAACAGGAAAAAACAGTTGTTATCGTAGATGCACAGATAGTTTTTATATATGAGGGGACTGTGTACTATTTTGATAATTTGTATCCATCTGTGTTCAACCGAATTGAAGCCTAACCTGTAATTCAGCAATAACTATTCGTCTTGCTTCTTGGAAGAGTTTCTCGTCATCCCAACCACTGTTGTAGCCTTTGAGTTCTGTTGCAACACGGTTGTGTTCTCTCATGAACAGAGTGTGTAGAGCACTCAGTCCAGGGAAGACATTGACTCTCGAGTCACCTGCAGTAAAACGGGAAATAAGTTGTTTTGTTTTATTTGATATGAAGTATAATGACTTGTCTTAAATACCATATATTATATTCATCTTATTTACAGGGAAAATGAATATCCATTAAAATGTTAAGAACCATTTTATCACCATCGTTGCTAGTGAACACATCTTACACGCATAGTTTAAAAGAATGAAATTGCTGTGAAATATTATTGTTTGTAACGACCTGCTTTGAAACAGTAGTTGCTTGAATCAGAAGTATCAAGAAAGCAATCGTCAGAATCTCCTTCCGGCAGAAGATTGTTTGTTCCCACTTTCAACAATCCGGCTGGAAAACAAGAGATTGGCTAATTATTAAACATTTTTAGTTCATACAACTTTGAAATATTGAAATAAACATAAACTGAATAACAAATCAAGGTCTGTCGTTTAATTGTTATCATCTCACAAACTGATAATTATCACACAAAATCTTGAAGAAATCAGGAGGACATGCAACCTACATCCGGAGTCAGTGTCTCTGAGCTCGGCCGTCTCCGAGTCTGAAATCCCGTAGATGTGGGAACCGTCTATGAAGGCGGACAGTTCATTGTACTGTTGTCGTGGATCTGGTTGGAGAGAAATCGGGAATAAGTTCACTGTGAAAGTTTATTGTTGTTTAAGTATGACGTTACATCGTGTCCTTCTCCGAAATATTATCTTGGTAAATAACTTGAAATGCAATCTCGTCAGTTTCAGGTATGAGAATGAATCATGAATGTGATTATACTTTGGATGGGATCATGGGTAATTGCCCAGTCGTCAAAGGCGCCGCTATTGTGCAGAGTTGCGTCCCTTGGTCACGCCAGAAACCTTCATGTGATGTGTGGGTTCGAATCCCGGTTCTACCCGATTATGTTTCTGGGTCTGACAGCACCATAAGCGTGCTTGTGGGTTTCACCAAAGTGGTAAACATCTTGGAACTGCATCACTTCGGGCCTTCCTCTTACATTAAGCAAACACGCAGTGATATAACTAGAGTACTTTTCGCAGCACCCTTAAATCTAACTCACTCAATCCCTCAATTATTATCTAAAAAACATAACTTAAGCTTTTTTTAACTCTTCAATAGATACTGAAATGCAATCCAATGGACACTTTAATCTTTAAAGAAAGTAGAATAGCTAAATTTTTCAAAATGTAATTGGGGAGAATGAGCGAACTTCCAGGCCATATCACAGGTCGCTGTTTAAAATTGCGTCAGTTAACCAATTAAGTTGAAACACAATCAACCAGGTCACACACTCATTATTTGACGTTTACGTCAAGCATATTCGTGGGGAATAGTCTACTCAGGTAGGACCAAGGGGAGAAATATGTATTGGGATTTGTATATAAGTGTTCATCCTTACTGGAGGAATCTGTGCCTGTTCCTGAAACCGCCTCCGATCTCACAAGGTTCATACATTTACCATCGCCAAAGTAGAAGTCACCATCAGGAAGGTTGATTGGGAAACATGGAGAGTCTGTGCTGATGAGAGGAAGACAATACTGGATATTATCGATATATTTTGTGTGATCTGTATATAGTTATGGTGCACGTGTATTATTATCAGACTGTCTTCTTTATTGTTGTGTCATATGATATAGTAACAGTATAGTAAGGGATCAAAAGTAGTTTATTGTTATGAAAATCGTTTTTAGAAATGAATATTCTTTATAGTTAACAGTGTAAACTTACTCGCTTGGAACGGAATCGGTTCTGTCACAACATTCAATATCACTTCCATTTTCTGTAAAGAAGAAAATGCATGCATGTTTTGAAGATAAAGAGACATCCACAACAATCCATGCCCTTCGAAATATAAATATAAAAAAAGAAAATGAATATATTATGCGATCGTGCCACAATATGCTGTATTTCTGACATGGAAAGCGTCAACATTGCGAAAGATGGAAGCAATATACAAATAACAAGCATGAAATACTCATATCCCCCGCCAATATGACATGTTCGGTTGTGTGCAATACATTACCTTATGTGAACTATGTTCACTGAACCTTTTTCGTAAAAGGGCCTAATTGCAGCACTAAAAGGTGATTACTGGTGTTGTTTTGCCTCTTGCAGTTTATGATAGAATCTGTAACTGTATTTGTAATGAGTTATGTTATTACTTGAACAATAATCAGAGAAGTAAGAGAGTTCTTACTTTACTTAGAGATCATTGAGAGCAGGGGTCACCATGAGGTGTACTGAGAAGTACAGCACCAATCATCTGATGATCTGATAAGTAGACTGGAGTCTCGAATGCTACAGCACTGGCATGATCAGTAAACAACCCTGCGTAGATGTTTTTGTGTAATGTGTAAACGGTTTCCGAGTTATGCTCTGGCTACGGAAATGTTTGTTAAAACTCCCACACTATCAAAAGTCACCAGTGTACCACTAGACCTATTTATATGCCAAGTTTGGTGGAGCAATATGATATGGTTTTCAATATCTGTGCCAAGTTTGGTAATTTTCAGTCTAATTCAAAGTCGTTTCCAGGGAAACTCGAAAGATAATTATTTTTTAAATCCCAAACTATCAAAGGGCACCAGTTTACAACAACACCCATTTAAGTGCAGGCTTTGGTGATGACATATTGTACGGAGATATGCTCCGGAAACGAGGACTACCGCCATTTTTAGTCTAAGCCAAAGTCGTTGCCAGGGAAACTCGAAACATAATTTTCTTAAAAATCCCAAAGTATCCAAACGCAACAGTTTTCCACATTTGGTTAAAAAATCGGTCATGTTTTAGTTCTACTCCGGAAACCAAACGTGATGGAACGAACAGACGGGCGGAAGGACGGGTGGAAGGACGGGCGGACAGCACTCAGTTCTATATCCCCCTTCCACTCCGTGGCGGGGATAATAATTACTCTTGACGAGGTTAGTATGGGAAAACTCAGACCTTTGGACCCGACCCCGTCTGCGGTCAGACCTCATCACAGACTTACAAAGTAACTTAGCTGCCAACCGTAAAATGCTCGTACCAGACGCCATCATGTTTTGTAGCAGACAAGTCAATATTCATCACGTGACAGGTCTATACGGATCATATGACGAATCAATATTCGAGGAAAATGTTAATCACATCATTTCGGGGTTTACATTGAAATGCATTGTTTCGTCACATGGTACGGATTAACCAATGGAACTGCAAGATGCTTACTAGAGGTACAACAATATCAAATCATTACCTGTAACCACCGGCGTTCCCGTTATGTCGTGGTCAATAAACTGACCCCACTGCATCAGCATGACGGAGTTTCTGACGGAAAGAAAACTCAGCTCAAAGTGAACATGGTTGCTGATGCTTCTTGGGTTAGGCAGGTCTGATCCATCTGTAGCCAGTGCCCTGGGGTTTCCAGTTGCTGTAATATACAACAGAGATGTTTGTTCGTTGATTTGTCACTTTGTTACATGCAGTTGGAAACTATTTTTACAGGATATCACTTGCCTAATATTCTCTGTCGGATGTAAACTAATGCTTATTTAAAACGGTTTTCATTAGAAAGGTATATATTTTCTTTGAGAGGCATTAAGAAGTTGGAGTACTAAGTAAGGATAATATTTATGGATGAACAACTTCCTTATCACAATTAGGAGCGACTTTTCAATTCAGGTTTAACACCGATATCAATCAATCTATACATCACTTTCTTGATGACGTGTTAGAACCTACGGAGGGCACGGGTGACCCACGCCCAGGTGTGCAGAGTTGCGTCCCTTGGGCAAGCAGAAACCTATGATTGTGGGTTCGAATCCCGGTTCGCCCCGATTATGTTTCTAGATTTGTCAGCACCATACCCGTGCTCGTGGATTGCACTGAGGGGGTAAACGTCTGAGACCTGCATCACTTCGGGCTTTCCATCCACATTAAGCTGACACACCACGATATAACTGGAATAATGTTAAACGCGGCGTTAAACGCAACTCATTCACTCACTGTTAGAACCTACCCCTAAACGTTGCTCCTAATTGTAATAAAGAAGCTGTTCATCCATAAATCTTACAGTTACTCAGGTTTTAAGCGTTGTGACGTTTAGTTATTTATAATCAGTTGGTATCGTTCCTCAGACATTATTTACAGAAATATGGCAAACTAAACAAACCGTCGGCATAGACAGGTTCCAGCCACCTAGTGAGTTGAGCACCAGCAGCTCCCCATTCCGAATTGTCCACGTTATTGCACGTGCCATCGGCTGTCCGATAGGTGTCGCTTGAGTCGCAGGTCGCTCTCCTGAGTTAAACGTGTTTGTGTGATAAGACATTGAATCCCTTTCATGAACACACATATAAACACTCTAACTTAGCATCACACATTGAACGGGGACGTCCCGGGAAGACAATTCATTCTTGATATTATTACAGTTGAGGTATTTAATCCTCCAAGATTAATCAATTATTTCCCTTGGTGGATATTATATTTTTGAAAATATTTACTTGTGGTTAAGCGCCGAGATGGATGTACATTTGCATTATAGCAGAACATGTACATATTTACATAAGGGTTTAAGAAACATGATGTCTTCACTACTGGTTAGATTTACATGTCCGGCTTTTCATATCAGACAAACCTGCTTCTGTAGACAGGCTCCATGTGTCTTTTACTCTTGGATGATCGCGAACTGAAGGCACATGGCGTCCTGCTTCCTCCACACTCTGTAACGAAGGCTCACGTGATTTGATGTGTAATCCAATAAGGGAATATATAATAAAGTTAATACCATGTTGTTATTATTCTGAGAATAAAATTCTAAATTTAGGCCACATTTATGCACCATCTGTACAAATCTGATTATACCTTCACCTACTCAAAGTGTTATAGTTCTTTATTCTAAATATGTATTTTGGAATAAAAAATACACAAAGTTGAAATAAAAGCGACAATAAACATTTCCATAATAATAAGAAAGCGATTCAACAATATCATGAGCATATGTTTATGAATCAATATGAAATGACACCAGATGTTCGCGAAAAGGTTTGCGTATCCTGCCCCACTGGTGCTCCCTGTCACAAGCACATGTAAAGGCAAGTCAATTGTAATGAAGACACGTCAATGAAGACACAAGTCAAAATAAGTAATTGCATCGGACACTGATGCGCAAATTTGGAAATGTCCTCTACGTATCTCCCATACAACATTTTGAAAGCTTTACTTAGGCCTTGAATGTTGTAACCCTAGGTCTTCAGCAATCCATGCTTGCCATAAAAGGCTACTATGCTTGTCGTAAGAGGCGACTAACGGGATCGGGTGGTCAGGCTCGCTGACTTGGTTGATGCATGTCATCGATCCCATTTGCGTGGATCGATGCTCATGATATTAATCACTGGATTGTCTGGTCCAGACTCGATTATTTACAGACCGCCGTCATATAGCTGGAATATTGCTGAGTGCGGCGTTAAACAACAAACCAACCAACCAACTGTTCAAATAACGTTTGAGTCGTGTCAAATCTTCAGAAACTTGATTGTACCTCAGAGGTTGTGAAATGCCGACACAAAGGATGAAGCTGCTGAATCAATGTTCGACATAACAGAAAAGCTGACTCTTGGGAAGTTGACGTCATCCTTCGAAAGGCTTTTGTTTCAAATCCAGGTCGGTAATTCAGTGGAGTGAGTGATTGAATGATTTGGGTTTAACGCTGCTTTTATCAGTAGTTCAGTGATATCGGGGGCGTCAGCTTAATGTGGGAGGAAAGCCTGAAGTGTTGCAGGTCTCAGACGTTTACCACTTCGGTGAAACCCATGAGCACAGGTATGGTGCTGACAAACCTAGAAACATAATCGGGGCGAATCGTGATTCGAACCCACATTCATACGTTACTGTCATGCCCGAGGGACGCAACTCTGCACAGCGAATCGCGACGACTTAGACAACTAGGCCACCCGTGCTTCCATAGTTCAGTGGAAAGGAATTGGCTACAGGCCATTATTGAAAGATGTCAGATCATAAATATACCCGAAACAGGAGTTAAACTTCTTTGCCAAATTACCTTGTTATCCCCCGCCCAACAAAATTGGCGGGGGATATAGAAACGGGCTCCTTCCGTCCGTCCGTCCGTCCGTCCGTCCGTCATGTCTCGATTCCGGAGCATAATTTAGAAACCGTTCAATATTTTTTCATGAAACTTTGCAGATCTGCCATGTACATGCTAACCTGGTGCCTTTTGCTATTTAGAATTTTTAGAAATCTTAATTTTTCACGTTTCCATGGCAACAAGATGGACTTAGGTTCTGTAAGGGTAGGGTTCGTTTCCAGAGCATAACTCATAAACCGTTTAATATGTTTCATCAAACTTTGCTGGTCTGTCATGTACATGCTGAACTGGTGCCTTTTGCTAGTTAGAATTTTTAGAATTGTTTTTTTTTTCGTTTCCATGGCAACGAGATGGACTTTGGTTCAAAACTCTTCTTTTTTACAATTTCTATGACAAGTTCCACCTCGGTTAAAAGAAGTTAGGTTTTTTTTAGATTTAATTATGTTACAAATTCTGCAACAGGGGCGGGGGATATAGCCACGTTAGTAGCAAGCTCTTGTTACTTTAGTTTTTGGCATTCCAAGCATTCCTCCCTAATTGTATGCATAGGGACACAGATGAGCTGGAGGGGGGCACATTTACGTCTTATCTAAATGTCTTATCCCCGAAGTTCACTCTGAAGTTTTCAAAGAGGAAGTCAAGCATTTCACATTTCGTTCAACAGCCAGCAATCCCGTATGATGTGACTAGCGGGATAGGGTGGTCAGACTCGCTGACTTGGTTGATGCATGTCATCGTATCCAAATTACGTGGATCGATGCTCATGTTGTCTACCATTGGATTGTCTGGTCGGGACTCGATTATTTACAGACCGCTGTCATATAGCTGGAATATTGCCTAATGCGGCGTTTAACAACAAACAAACACATATAACCAAGTTATTGATAGATTTTGAAGAACAGTTTAAAATGTTCAAATATATGAACCATATTTTTAGATATGACTGCATGTACCAACTGCACAAACGGTTCAATTCCATTATACACCAATATCTATATAACTTCATTCATATATGTGTTGTACAATATAAAAGATAATCTTTATAAGTTGCTTATTGCATGTAGCGTTTCTCCAATCCACAAGATGATAATGAACAAGTCCTGGAGCCAATAGTTTGCAGAAATATAGATTCTGAAATAGTTAATACTCACCAGCGTGTATAACGCAGAGCGCGATCAGCAGAGCTTGCACAAGGAATGACTGCATACTGTCAGCTTTACGAAGGACAGAGTCTATGTGATGGAGTCATCAGACTAGCACTATATATATACACACAATTCCAATAACATACAGATAGACTCGATAAGACACCATTACTTTTATCAGATATGATGATTTGTATTGGTAACAGCAAGAAACAAATCTAGTGATAGCAGGGAGTGACGATTGTATGTGTCGATTGCCAAGATGAATCGATCAACATAGGATCCCGTGTGGGAAATAGCCATTTAGATCTCGCCACTCAACATGTTTCAATAATAGTTGTGTTCGATCGTGGTGATACTACCCTTGACTTGCAATATAGTATTATATGATGTACTGATTAGGGATTTATAAACAGCTGAGTAGCCTAATTGGCAGTTTTATACCTTGCTGAGTGCGGCGTTAAACAAAGAACGAGAGAAAGAAAAAACAGTTTTATAGTTTGTTTGTAACCACACCCTGACGATCTTGACGTTCACCGCACCAACGACTTAAGTTACAAGTCCTCAACACACATGCTCTGACGCTCTATTGTTAGCTTTGCAACATATTTGATATGTATTTGAGTACTAGTTTGTTTTCTATACATCTCGGAAGCTTAACCACTGTCGCCGCTGGGTGAATATATACCAATTTCACTGACTTTCGCTATCACCACTGTATTTTTGTATGTGATATTGACCGCTGCCATCATATTATATATTGCCATTGAATGTTGTACTACCACTCCATTGTTTACTACCACTCTATTTGTTGCAATTGCTATGCAGTAATTTCTATTGATTTGTAAACTTAGTGACTTTTGTTATACATTTGTTGATTGTATGCCACTTGTTGGTTGTTTCTTGGTTTCACGCTAAGTTCTTTAACGTAGAGATATTTGTTGGGTTAACGTATTGTTTCAATTTGGGAATCGACATGTAAACAATGAAAGAGATTAATTGTCCCCGAAAGTTTTTGAAAATATATTTGTGCTTCATGTTGATTGTAAAAAAATATAAAAAGTCAGCCACTGAAATTATATTGTTGCAATGTGTGTGTTCTAAAACTATTAAGGCTCTTAGTTTTAATTATATCTGGTTTTGCAGATGGAGCTGAAACAATATCTGGTCTCAATACAAAATACCAAAATTATCTGCGCGTGTCGTTTTCAAAACAGATTAATTTCTATTTCGACTACAGGAAAGTCAGTATTTGCATTACAAGACAGTTATATGAGTGAGTGAGTTGGGTTTAACGCCCCTTTGAACAGTATTCCTGTTATATAACGGCATGTCAGTTTAAAGTTAGTGGAAAGCCCGTTACCAGTTATGAAAATGAAGAGGAACTACAAAAAACAACATAAAAGGGCTACATGTGTTAAAATGTGATTCGTATAACTAATCTGATAAGACATGATTTGGATGATACCTTGGAAGTCATGATCGGTGAAAAAAGATTGACACATGACGAACATGATAGATCAATTGTGCCAATGAACCACTTGATCTCGTGCAGATCCGGGTCTTCAGCAACCAATGAGTCTACTGTGTAGTCAGTATTTGCATAATAAGACTGCTATATGAGTGAGTGAGTTGGGTTTAACCCCACTTTCTACAGTTTGTCCGTTATATAACCTCATGTTAATTTAAATTTAGTGGAAAGCCTGTTAACATTTATGAAGTTGAAAAGGAACTACAAGAAAAAACAAGGGCTACATGTGATTCGGGTAACTAATCCGACAAGACATAATTTGCATGGTGTTTGATGGTTGACACATGATGAACGTGAAAGATCAAGTGTGCACATGGACCACATCCGTTAAACCTATGACCTCGTGCAGATCCGGATCAGATTTGGTCTTTAGCAAACCATGCTTGTCGTAAGAGGCGGTTGGTGAGGATTGCTGACATTGTTGATTCAAATCATCGTATCCCAATTGCATAGATCGATGCAGATGTCAATTACTGAATTGTGTGGTCCAAGCTCAATTATATAACTGGAATATCGTTGGAATATCGCTAATTGCCGTGTAAACAACAAATAAAATACAAACAAAGCGTAAAAGCTACCAACTAGATTCAGTAGCAAAACTTTCTTTTTTCGGAAAATTGTAAAATGCCAATCCTCAATAAGAAAGTATATATTCTGGAATAACCGTGTTTACGTGGACAGATTTCTCTCATAATAACAACAGGGTGGTCGGGGAGCCTAGTGGTTAAAGCGTTAGCTCGTCACGCTGAAAACCCGGGTTCGATTCCCGACTTGGGTACAATGTGTGAAGCCCATTTCTGGTGTCCCCCGCCGTGATATTGCTGGAATATTGCTAAAAGTGGCGTAAAACCATACTCACTCACTCACTCTCATAATAACACCAAAGAAATGGCTCTATTTAAGAATAAAAATACATTTCATGCCAGTTGGTAATTATATTTTGTAATCTATCTATCTGTCTAAACTCACACAAAGAAACAATTGACTAAGTTGTAACGAAGAACGCGCCGAATGTAGAATGTCCTAAACATGTGCAGAAACTATTACCCAGCAGAGCTCACTGCTGCGGACATCGCAAAACTGCTTCGTGGGTTCGTAAATATTCATGAAGTTTTCCTATCATTGGAAGGTTTCGGGTGATAGGCTTGCTTGTCTTATGTCTGAGTTCCCTTCAATTGTAGATAAAAATTCGGGTTCATATGGGCCTCGATTTTTATGATCCGAAGGATGTGTACTATGGAAAAAGTTGCCTGAGTGTTATTCCCTCTCAATCTGAAGCAAGGTATTTCGCTTTGCAACTGGGGAGGTCGGGTAGCCTAGTGGTTAAAGCATTCGCTCGTCACACGCCGAAGACCCGGGTTCGATTCCCGACATGGGTACAATGTGTGAATCCCATTTCTGGTGTCCCCCGCGGTGATATTGCTGGAATATTGCTAAAAGCGGCGTAAAACCGTACTCACTAATTCACTCGCTTTGGAACTATTTTCGTAAAACTTGAAAGGATGATCAACTGGTGACCCTATTCAAACGTCACTGACTTCGTGTACCTATCGTGGAGTTGATGTCGCAATTAATAATTTGTGAAGTTATTTTCCATCAATATATCAAAACAAGAATGATATACAAATTTGAGCCCTCACGCAAGTACTGACTTTATAAAATATGGGCCCACCTACGATATCTCTATTCAGAGAGCTATTGTTGGTCCACATCTGGGGAAAACTAAAACAGGCCTATAAGAGTTTTGGTTCTCATTTGCAAGAGCCAGCTTTTATTTGCAGATTGCAATTAGGCCTATTTAAAGGTTTGGGGTTTCATCTACAAGGGCCATCAGACCAGTGAAGATCCGGGCTGGAATAGGTCTTCAGCAACCCGTGCTTGCAGTACATAGTGACTATGCTTGTCGTAAGAGGCGACAAACGGGTTAGGATTGGCAGGCTTGGTGATTTGATTAATGCATGTCATAGTACCCTAATTGCGTTGATCGATGCTCATGATGTCAGTCACTGGATTTGTCTGGTCCAGAGTCGATCATTTAAAGGCCGCCGTCATGCAGCTGGAACATTGCCATGTGCAGCGTTAATTAACAAATAAACAAACAAAGAAATGCAAGAGCCATCTTTCGTTGGCAGATTGTAAGTCGGCCTATTTGAGGGTTTGGGGTTTCACCTACAATTTGCTGCTGGTTACAGATGTAAAGACGTAAAGAAAATATATACAAAGAATACTATTTACTTTAGAGATTAGGTCCCGAGTTCTGTTTGTTTGCTGTTTCAATTATATGGCGGCGGTCTGTAAGTAATCGAGTCTGGACCAGACAATCCACAGGTTGACAACATCGAGCATCAATCCATGCAATTGGGATCGATGATATGCATCAACCAAGACAGCGAGCCTGACCACCCTATCCCGTTAGTCGCCTCTTACGACAAGCATAGTCGTCTTTTACGGCAAGCATGGGTAACTCGTCGGCCTATTGACAAAGAGCATTTTTTCACTGAAGTTAAACGTTATAGGCCACCTTCGATTCGTTGTGTTGTGTATTTTCGCTGGAAGTATTGTCTTCTTAGATATTATGACAAAATATCAGAAATTGACTGCTTTCCCCCTCGTGCCACTTGGCGGGTGTGGCTGAAAATACTGAATATTGCCTGTTAAAAGGGGATTGATGACCTGCATCAACCAAGTCAGCGAGTCTGACCATCCGATCCCGTTAGTCGCCTCTTTCGGCAAGCATTGTCGCCTTTTAGGGGAAGCATGAACGCTGAAGACCTATTCTACCCTGGATCTTCACGTGTCTCCTTTTCAGTGAATAAAATTTTAGAACTGTCCGTTTTATGCTTTTTCTATGTAATGCTGCTCATAATGAATTCCGATACTATTTGGAGAAATGTCAAGTAGTTTGTTTGCAATGTTAACGGTTTGGGCTATTGTATTTCGCCTTGTTCAGATTCCCTTACCACAATCATTTCTCTTTCTTTTTCAAATTAATGACGGTATCAATGTACTTGTATTCATAAAAAATGCTCATATCCTTATAGTGTCTGTGATCAGTCACGTGACAGCTAGACAGAAATGTGTCTGAAAAGGGCTGGTGTGTTTCATTGCACCCTCCTCTGGTGCCATGCAGCTGGTTCTACAATCTCATCCAAATCAGATCTTTTACTCGGACAAGACACCACTCTGTGAAGTCTGACATCTCCGCCCACCAGTGGAGACTCCGTGTGTAACATATAAAAGTTGAATGGTGGAAATAGTTCCACGAACTTAATACTTGGGAATCATAGGTGCTCCTCAGTAACTGTCAAGTGAACATTTCAGGAGACAACTGTCTACATATTGCAATTAATATGTGTTACTTTCAAAACATTCAACAAAATTGTGATTTATTTTTTTATCAAAGACGAAAAGCTTAACAATTGCGTAATGACATCTTTATCGTGTGTATAACATGAGATTAAAGCATTAAAACAAAGCGGAAGCCCAGAAATTAGGCCCACAACTACTACAAAACCCCGTTAATCCAGAAGCATCCTATTCTGAGTCAATGCATTGATAA